GCTGCCCTGGGGGGGAGGGCGGCCGGGGGAGCGGACGCCTCGTCCTGAGGTACCGGCGAGGGGAGAAAGAATCCCGCTTTCCTCCGGGGAGCAGGCAGTGGGCAGCTTGCCTAGAGGCCTGGAGCCTGCGCCCGGCCCTGCTGTGAGGAGCCGGTGCTGTAGCAGGCACCAAGTGTGCTCCAGGGCTGTGGAACGTGGGCGCAACGCTGGGGGGTTGAAGCCTGAGGTCCCAGCAGTTCAGAGGCTGAGCACTGAAGTCGGAGGCTGGGGACCTCCGGTGCTGCCTGTTTCTGCCTCAACAGAAGTCACTACAGCACTTGCCCCCTTGGCATTTGGAAAGTAGCAGAGTTGTTTTAGTATTGAAACAAGGGGCCTGTAGGAAGGTTCGTAAATGTAAACATACTCGAAACCCTGTTCTTTAGACAGAATTATTTGCATGGAATAAATGAAGTGTGGCCCATGCACTGAGCTACACCTGGGGTTTTGGGGGCCAGAAACCAGCCAAGGGCTTTGTGCTCAGTGAGCTCCGGTCTTGCTGTGCTGGACATGAGGAGAAGGGGGTGTGAATCACCCCCGAGCCGAGCAGGAGCTGCCTGAGCAGGAGCTGCCTGACCAGGCTTAATTCTGGTATTGGCCAGCTTTGTGGTGCTTGAGTGAAAAGGTGGTGTGGAGTCATCTTTTCAGAGCAGTGTCACAAATGTGTCTTAGCTTCTGGTGTGGGTGCCTGTCGCTTTTCCATCCCTGCTGCTTGCAGAGGGAGGAGGTGACCTGCTTTCAGAGAGGCCCGCCCGCCTTCGTATGTGTGAAAGTCTTGTAGGGTGTGGTCTGAAGTGCACTGGCTTGCTCATTGCTTTCCCTCTTAAGTACCTGTTTGCAGAATATGCTGGATTCTGGTGTTTGGCAGCCCAGAAATTAATCTCCCTGCTTTATTTTTGTTCTGGAATGGGCTGTAGTAATGTGGCTTGTCTGTTGCAGCATCTTCTGACAAGCTTGGAATGCAGATGAGGAGACTAGAGCTGACTGGTGACCAGGTAGGCTTCTCTGCTATTTACAGCTGGGACCAGTTCTTACGTGACTTTCCAGCTCCAGGTGAGAAACTCGAGTTGCAAAGAAAGAGTACCGTGAAGGTGAAAAGGTGAACGGAAGCAAAACTTGGTAGAAATGAATGCCTCGCTTAGCTGACACTGAGTCCAGATTTCCACAAGGTAGCGTAGCAGTAGCTCGTGTTCACATGCTGATCCCACTGCTTCTGCCTTGCCCTTCAAAGCTGGGTGTTTGATTCGTTTACCTGACTGAAAGCCAAGTGTAGTTTGTTCTCCCTTCTAGCTTTTCCTAGATGCATATCCTGGAAGTAGCGGTACCTGATACCTTCTGTCTGTCTGTCTGACAGGTCTGTTTGCACTCAGCCACACAAAATGGAGAAATTAAGCAACACCTCAGATTATTCTAGAATACCCTTTGCTTTGAAAAGCATTACTTTTTGCTAAAAAGTGGGAAATGACCAAAACGAAAATACCTGCCAGTTGATGCATTTCATAAAAATTCACCTATATTCTTAGATCAGTCTAGTGTCTCTAAAGTTCGTTCCGTTCCTGAAGGGTGGTCTCCTTGGTTCCTTCCTCTCTGCCTTCCCAAGGTGAATTCACTTGGCTGGGTGGAGGGATTCCACTTTCTGCTTGGCAAGTACAGTGTCATATCTGGTGTTTGTGGTGGCATCTTGCATTAGGGAAGAAACAATCGAGAACATTGGTTCCCATTGGGGTGGCCAGTAGCAAGGTTTGCAGTTGTTGTGGACCCTTGCGCACCTGGGTTGTCCTGAGAGAGCTGTCCTAGGGAAACGTGCTTTCCTTTTGCTGTATGTGGTGCTCTGCTTGAAGTATAGTCCTGTCTGCACCGCTAGCAGAGACTCTCTTGCCTGTTTGGTCAAGGATACCCTGTCCCTGGGCCAGCAGTCTTTGTTCTTCAAGGAAGGGTCCTGTGGTCATAGGAGCTGAAGCCCTGACTGTGCTACTAGCCTGATGGTGTCAAGCAGCAGGATGTGTTTGCTCCTATTTGTGCCTTCCTGAGGAGAATACTGCCAGGGTCCTGGGCTCTTCCCCCTGCATGGTGCTTGATGTCATTTGTGTCCATCTAGATGGCTGGGAGATAGGTGGGGGATGGGAGGAAAGGAAGGCAGGGGGTGGCTGGGGTGGAAGTTCCCTGCACTTGCGTGCAAGCAGTGGAGAAGGTCTGCCCTGCTTCCCCCAGCCCATCAGGATGTATTCTACAAACCAAGAGAGAAGTCTTGCCTTGCTTCACCCTTCTGCCTGTGCTCTGCACAGAGTGTGTTGCCTGTGTACCAGTAGGAGCACCTCACCTTCCCCTGCCTCTCTGGGTATGTTGTACAGATGAGCAGTATATTTTCTAAGTACAGTCATCTCTCTGGTCTATAGACAGCCTATATTCCACATACGGGCAGAAAAGCCCTGTACTACCTGTGTGCACCAAGTCTTTGCTCTGCAAAGAGAAAAGCCTCACCTCACCTGTTTGTGTGCTTCTGTAGGCAGAACGTGGCTGATGTGCAGAGAGACCCCCCTCCTTCACCATGCAGTCTCCCTAGATTTCACATGCAGGTGGGTGGAAAAGCCTAGCCTCACCTGGCCCATCTCTGCTCTGTAACCAGAATATGTTCTGCATCCTGACAGTAATGCGGTGTGTGGTGCTCTCTACATGTATTCTCCATACAGCCATTTTATAGTCTGTATGGTGACAGAAAGGTATTGCCCCACCTCACACTTCTGTTGTCTTCTGTTCTCTATACGGCCAGTGTACACTGTATAAGCAGACCAAAAAAGTCCTGCCTTGGTGGTATTTAGTCTATGACTAGATGGAAAAGACATGTTTTGCTTGCACACGGTCTGTCTACAGGTGGAATATAGTCTATATCCGGAGAGAAAAGCCTCACCGTTTCTTTTCTGATAGGCGGAGTATATCCTGTTATATGCTACATACTGAGAAGTCAAGTGTGACTTTGCCTGTCCATGTGTAGTCTTGAGGAAGAAGTATGTAGTTTGTACAGTGGCAGAAAAGCCTCCCCTTGTTGGCATGTTGTGCGTACAGAGGTGGTACATAGTAAACATAGACGTAGGCGAGGCATGGCTTTTCTAAATACGTGTACATTTAGCCCATATATTCTCTATGCAGACAGAAGCCTCTCATCACCTTGCCTATGTGTATTCTGGGTGTGGACAGGCTGCATTCTTTATAAACTGAAAAGCCCTCGTTTTCTATCTGTTTATGTGCTATGTGCAGCGTGCATTCTATAGAGGCAAACAAAATCCTATTTTCAGCCCAGTCTGTATTTTGTAGATTGGATGACTTCTGTGTATGGACAGAAAAGCACTGCTCTATGGACCTCTGTCCTCTATAGAAGGAGGCTATCTTCTGTAAGCAGAGACGACCCGCCTCATCTGTTTGTATCTACTCTACATATAGAATGACTATAGTCTATATGCAGACAGTATGTGTGCTCTATACAGAGAGAAAAACAAGGCCTTGCCCCTCTCTCTGTGTATGTCTGCATGTCAAGTATGTGCATTCATGTGCATGTGTTCCAAGTAAAGACAGCATGCATTATACGCAGAGAAAGAAATGTCCTTCCTCCCTTGGCCTTGAAAATGTCTATGTTCTTTGTAGAGATAGTATATATTTAACATAAAGGCAGAAAAGCATAGCTTCCCCTCACCTGTCTCTCTGTTTTATGTAGTATGTATGCAGTTTACAAATTGTATGTATATTCTGTATGTTCTGTGATTAGAGTGCACGTACAGATAGAAAAACATGGTTGTGCTTCCTGTGCCTGTATACTTTTTTATGTGTAGTGGATACAGGGAGGAATACAGGGAGGAAAAAAAGCCTCAGTGAGGTGAGATCAGCTGAGGCTTCTCTTCCTGGATATAGAGCGTATAGTGTCTGTATAGACCGTGTCGGGGGTGGTGGTGGTGTGTGTATATATAGTCTCGAAATACATGTTTACATATATCTGTATATGTCTATCTGTACATATTCTGTATATACTTGCTGCATGTTTTATGTGTAGATTCTGTGTGTATAAATTTATCTAGATGGTGTCCTAGCTGTGTGTATTTCATATCCAGACAAAAATTGCCTCACTCGGGCAATGCAGGACTTGTTCTGTAGTATGTAATGTAAACAAAATGAAAAAAGCTTCAGCTAAGCAAGGTGTAATATACATAGTGTCTTGTTAATGCCCCGTTCACAGATACAAAAACCTCAGCAGAACTTTTCCAAGCGTATGCAGTAAATATACCGTCAAGTTCTATCCAACCTAGAGATGGAAAACAGGAAATAGTCCATAACCTTTTGTCCATATGCAGAGTCACTGCTGTCTGAATGTCTTCCAGCTTCAGCCTGGGGAGATGAGCTGAGTCTTCTGAGTTGACACAGATGTGGAATTTGTGCTGCTTGTGTATCTCTTGTGTAGTGGGCGAACAGGGAGGGTGAGGTGATAGTGACCGCAGGAGCAGAGAAGTGGTTCCCAGGTGAAATAGGAGCTCTCCAGGTGGTCATTTGGAGGGGCTGAGGGGAATGTTTTGGGAGCCACCTTGTATGTCGGCCAGAAAGTTGCAGATTTCTTCAAAGGCAGAGAAGTGACTTGTGCCCCTACACAGGTGCCACCTGTGAAGGATGAAAGCTCTCTAGGAAGCATTAAGAGAGATTGCCCCCAGACTTGACTTATCCCTGTGCAATAGCAGGGGTCTGGGAAGAGGTCTGGCATCAGTGTTCCCATCGGGTATAGTCCGCCTAAATACAGGCAGCGTTTCCGTTCTGGGAATGTGCAGTATGGTTCTTCAGCACAGCAAAACCAGTGAGAAATGAGGAATTTCCTGGGAACCCCTAGGAGATGATGAATTTGGATGCATTCAAGAGCTTTCACACAACTTGCTAGGAATTATTCTCTCTAGATGATTGATGGGAATGTTGTACAGTTGTTGGTTGGGAATTTCTGAATGAGACTAAAAATAATTCTTTAACTGTTGTTTTCTAGGACTACCCATAACAGTTTTGAAGCATGTGAGGGGTGCATCATCACATGGCCCTGGAGGAGCACTTCAATGCCCAGCTATTCTAGAGTCCTTCACTGAGTGGCTCTTTTGGGTTCCTCCACTGCCTGGCTTTATGGGGTGGTTCAACACCTGGACTTCTTGGGGAGCCTCACCATATATCTCTTTAGCAGTGCTTCATCGTCAAGATTTTATTGGGAGTGCATCACCACAAGACCGTGGTGCAGTGTATCACTGCCCCACCCTGGAGGAGCCCATCATCATCCTTGCCTCAGAGGAGCCCTTCACCACGCTACACCGAAGGAGTCCATCATCATCCCTGCCCTGGAGGAGCCGTTCATCGCCCTGTGTCGGAGTACCCTTCATCACTGTGCATGTGGGAGCCCATCATCAACCCTGCTGCGCCGTGCCATGCCGCCACGGAGGAGCCCTGCTGCGCCGTGCCGTGCCGCCACGGAGGAGCCCTGCTGCATCGTGCAGTCATGATGTGTCTCTTTATTGCGTCATGGGACTGTGTTTGTAGCCGTTTAGCGTGCTAGACTGGAGGAGACCTTCATCATGCGACTCCGGATGAGCCTATCGTCATCTGTCGCTACTTGGAGGAGCCCTTCACCCTGTGTGGTGTGTGGTAGGTATTGCGTGTTATGTGTTGTATTTTGTATTGTACTGTATGTTTTTTAAATTGTGTTTTGTCTTTCATTGTCTTGTATGTATTGTATCCCTTGTCTTTTATTGTATGGTATGGTATTTATTCTGTGGTTTACTATGTATCGTATTATACAGTAAGGTATGTAACGTATGGTGTTGTATGTATTGTGTGTATAGTCTTTTGTGATATGAATCATATGTACTGTAGTGTATCGCATGTATAGTACTGTTTTAATGTATGTAGTATATGGTATTTATTGTGTTGTATTGTGTTTTTTCTTGTGTTGTGTACTGTATTTTACTGCCTTTATTACGCCGTGTAGTATGCATTATATTTTCTGTTGTGTTTTGTATTGTATGTATTGTGTTGTAGTGCATGGAATAGTATTTATAGTATTGTGTTTTGTATTGTTTTTTATGTATTTTATTGTATTTATTGCATGTATTGTATTTTGTGTTGCATGTATAGCATTTTGTATCATATGTATTGTCTTTTGTGCTGTATTGTACCTGTTGTATTGTACGTATTGTGTTTTGTGTTGTATGTTTGCATTGTATTTTATGGTCTGTATTGTACGGTATGATTCTGTGATTCACTGTGCTGCTGTGGAGGAGTCCTTCAGCATCATGGCGCCCCCAAAGAGCCCATCATCATCATCACCGCTCTGGAGGAGCCCTGCATCGTGCTTTCCCAGAGGAGCCCTTCATTATGCCGCAGTGGAGGTGCCCTGCATCATGCCTCGCCTGGAGCACTTGTTCATGCCGCCCCGGAGGAGCCATTCACTGCACCGCCCTGCAGAAGCCCATTATCATCCCCACCCTAGAGGAGCCCTTCATCGCCCTGCCACGGAGGAGTTCATCATGCTGTGTGGCTGTTCTTGCAGACTCTCATTGCACCACCCCTGAGGAGCTCTTCACCGTCACGCCACTCCGGAGGAGCCCTTCAACACTGTGCTGTCACAGCGGATATCTTCATTGCGTTGCGGGGCAGTTTTTGTAGCTATTTAGCATGCTACACCAGAGGAGCCCTTCATCGTGCGTGATAGGTATTGCGTGGTATGTATTGTATTTTGTGTTGTACTGTGTATTTTTTAATTGTTTTGTCTTTCGTTATCTTGTATGTCTTGTATGTGTTGTCTCTTATTGTATGGTATGGCATTTATTCTATGGTTTATGTACTGTATTGTATTGTATGGTAAGGTAAGTGTTGTCATAAGTGTCATAAGTGTCATAAACAATGCCATACATATGATACAATTATCTGTATTTTACGTATAGTATTTTGTGTTGTATTGCGTTTTGTATTGTTTTTCATGTATTATATTTTATGTATTGTATTGCACATTGTATGTATGGCACAGCATTTATTGTATTGTGTGTATTGTACATTATGCATTGTACTGGGTTGCATGGTAGGTATTGTATGGTATGCTATGTACAGTACAGTATTTATGACATCATATGGTACTTTATGTATTGCATGGCATTGTATGCATTTATTGTATTTTCCATATTGTATTATTTCAAAGTATTGTGTTGTATGTAGCTTATGTACTGTATGTTTTATTGTATGTATTTTATTTTATATACTATATTTTGTATTGTATTTTGAGTATTGTATGTATGGTATAAGTTGTCTTTTATTGTGTGGTATGGCATTTATTGTGTTGTACGTATTCTGTTGTGTTGCATTTGTGGTACTTCTTGTTCTTTGTAGTTTGTAATGTATTGTAGTTGGCATTGTATGTATTATATGTGTTGTGCTGTATGGTACTGTATGTGTGTTGTATTCTAATGTACAGTATTGTCTTGTATGTATGGTATCACGTGGTATTATTTTATATACTGTATTCTATTGTATTTTCTGTTTTATTGTGTACTGCATTTTGTATTGCAGTGCACAAAATAATGCATATTGCGTTTTGTATTGTGTATCCTATTGTGTATTTTATTGTATTCTGTATTCTGTGTATTACCTTGCAAGTTACGTATGGTACTGTGCCACACCAGAGGAGTCCATCATCATTCCTGCCCTGGAGGAGCTCTTCACTGTGCTGCCTCGGAGGAGCCCTTCATTATGTTGCCTGCCTCCTCTCGGAGCCCTTCACTGCACTGCCCCAGAGCTCTTTATCATGCCGCCCGGCTCTTCTTGGAGCCCTTTG